CTGTTTAAAAGTCTGGTGACTACTAGACGTCACCTATGCAACATAAAAAATTTAAGGGATGGAACATATTGCTTCTTCATGCCTCAGTGACTATCTGTTTAAAACCATGTTCTGCTTTCTTCCAAACAAGATTCTAGTTCAGGGATGCAATGGCTAGTACACCCCTAATCCACAAAAACACACAAAAAGTATTAAAAAACTGTTAAAAAAGTATTATAAACTGTATTTGTGGCAATGCCCTTAATAGGATATGAACAACTTTGAGCTAAGTTCTCAATACTTCTGCACATGAAAGTGTATACATACAAACAAACAAAAAAAACAAGACAGATCTTCAGAAAGTTTTATGTATGTAATATGTAAGTACTGTGTACTTTGGATGTGTATCTCAAAAAGGAGTCCATAAGGGCACACATTAATCCTCAGAGAGAGTGATATGGAGAGCTAAAGAAGTGAAGAGAGCTAGAGAAGGAAAGAAGCTTTGTAAATTATTGATGATCCCCAGGGAGAACCAGACCTGCATTTCGTGATCAGGCCCTCAAAAGCAGCTGCTCTTAGTCAGATATGGTGTGATCAAAAGGGATGCAGGGGTTCAAACAGAGATTCATGAGCAACTGGTAAATACTCATAAAGGACGTCCTGCTGGCAGGCAAGCAGTCGGAGCCGTCACAAGCAAGCAGATTCAACTATGCCTGCTTCTGCAGTTCAGTTTTCCAGTGACCAGATGTTCTTGTGGAACACAAGCCGTCTGGTACCGAAACTACATCGTCCTTATCTTGTCAGTGTTGACTAAAGCACTATTCAAACTGGATTAGTTTTCCCAGAGTAGGTCCTGTAATGTAATTTGTAAGGGATATGACAGGTTAATTCATACAGGCTAAAGTATCTGTGCAATTTTCACAAATTACCACAAATAGCCTGGATGCACACGTCAGCGTTACCCTACAGGCACCACTCTCAATAACAATAACAACACAGCACACGGCCACATCTATTGGCAGGCTTTGTTATTACATTACCATGAGGTCGATTAAAACAAGACAGCTGTTAGTGAGGAGACTCAGCTAACTACAGCAGCTGATTCACTCTGGTGTAGAGCACCAATATTATATCCAGTATAAGTGATGACTCAATACTTGCAAAAATGATAGATAGGAAATCAACTGTAGCCACAAATAGACTAAGATTAAGATAAGAGCAATGTGCAGCTACTACCTAGCTGTAGACTGTATTTCTGTAAAGCAGTGCGAGCATGGAAGTTTTAGACATCTTAAGTGAAGTGCTTCCCATTTAAATAATTATATTTAAAGCACATTATTTTTGAAGACAAAAGTTATATCAGTATCTGTTGATACTCAAGGTTTCAATATCAGTATCAGAAAAGAAAAAGTGGTATCATGCCATCTTTTCTCTGGAAGTGTTACTTGTCAAACTCGGGAGCTACGGGAACTATAGACACCTCACCAAGTAAAACCATTCGAGCTCAAACAGGGCTCAAGTCTGACACTTCAGTGCTAATCTGCACTCTACAGTTTCACGTGTCTCACTGTATTGATTCTAGTAGTCCACATCTGCCAGTGAATTATGCCCAATACCACAAAGAACTTTAAGCTAACAGAGACCACAAGCATGGGAAAGATACAGAGAAAGAAAGCAGTAAAGATATTACAACTAGTTCCTCTTCATTCTGAATCTCTGATTTCAATGGCATGTCTAAGCAGCCATTGTAGACGCCTTTACCGTAACAACGAAAGTGTTCAGTCAGACCGAATCTGCCAGGTGGGAGAAAGCTCTCAAGTGGCCAATCAGCACTCAACAACCTGGCTCCCGCGAGTCTACTGAGACAGCTGTAATTGAGACAGCGTGATCACTCTGATTGCGGTCAAGAGCTTTTTCCTCGTCCAATCCTTCCAATGCCCCGAACCTGACAGGGGCCGGGCCGGGTAGGGGCTAGAAAGAGCCGCATGAGTGATTAAAAGAGAAAAGACTGGATGGATAGAGAGAGCTTAAAGAGAAAGATGTAAATGAAAGTTATGGAATAGGTTCTAAATAAAGAACATAAGGACAGAGGAACATGAGAAGAAAGACTACAGAGGCTTAATGACCGAATGAGATTGAATATCCAAAGAGGGCACCGTTTTCTCTCCCTGACGTGAATGACTGCATCTGGAGGAGAGTAATCCCTGTGCCGTGGAGCAAGGGAGATCAGATTGAGGGGATTAAGGGGCAGGATCAAAACATCAATCAGCCTTCATCCAAGTCGAACGGAGAGACAATATATATCCATTCAAACTTGGTGGCCAGCACAAGATTGTCAAAGTTAGCTCATAAACACAAGTAGGGTGGGCAATATAGGCAAAAAAAATGTACAACATATCACAAAACTTTTTCTCATGATGCACAATAGAGGTCTGATAAGTTGGAACAGACATAAAATGCCAGCAGTGGCATATTTTAAAAATACTATCAAAACTCTGTTGATTCCACAGCCGTTCATGGCTGAGTGTCCAAGACAGAATAATCGGTCTTGCTTTCAGTGGGTGAGAAGGTTAGCCTTCCCTCCCCCTCATCACTCAATGCTAGCTAACATGGGCCTGTGTTGGCTGATGTAGCAGGATTGGCAGTTTGCGATCTCCAAGTGTGATGAGCTGTCCAATGACGCTGCATTAGTGGCAGTAAAAAAGATGCAATGGCGCTTCACATGTCACACCGGAAGCGTGTGCTAGCCCTCACCCTCCCATCTTTGTAGTATTGCACGATAAAGGCACACCAAGCGGGTGGGAATTGGTTTTTGGGGTAAAATTGGGTAAAAACAGCCAAGTGTTTTTTTTGGCATTTAATATTTCATCTGTGCACTACTACATTAAATTAAACACAGTCCATGTTTCATGAACTCATTACATTGGGATTTTATCTCCCAACAAAATGGTGAAAGCTTTTTAATAAAACATGCAGTTGGTCAGTGTTGTGGACATGCTGACAATATCCACATTATTCTCAAAATAGCTAAATGTATTTATCATGATAAGTATAATATTGATTGTATTAATGTTTTGTATAATTTGTTGTCATATCATCAAACACTAAACAGAAAACAAAACTCTCTTGCAGCATCTGTAGTATTCCTCCTGTCAACCTGGCCAACAACTTTTTGTTTGGAAAGGTTATCTTAGGTTTCACTCTATGTCTCTCTCACTCAAAGCATGTATGGGAGGTTATTTTAGGAGGGATGACGTGCAGAGCACAGGCAGATTCTGCTTTGCTTAGAGAAGAAGGGAAGTCTAGTGAGTGTGAAATATGTACATCAGTGCTTCTACACAACAAAATGGACTTGAGTGTTCAAAAGCTCTGAAATCCTCAGTTTTTGACTTACGTTTTTTTCCCTTGAACATTTTCTACACATCCAACTGGATGTGAAACACAGAACTTTAGATATTGCCCCTATCCTCCAGGGGCTTCAGCTAGCTGTGCGAATGAACCTAGGGGCAACAGTTACCTAGACAACCCACCTACAGCACAGCAATCAAATGCTGCTAGGGGGAAAGTCTCTGAGATGACACACACAAACACTTAGCGGAGCTAACCAAGTTGCTTACTCAGTACATTCAGGCAATTACATTAAACCGTCAACTGCCTCTCTGTTCACCTACAGCATCTCACAAAGCGAAGGAGCTTAATGCTGCATCTATCTAATGCTTAACCCCTTTCACTCTGTATGTGGGTCCACAGTTAAGTATCTCACTCTCATAATTATTAGTCTTAAAGGGTGAATTCCACTAATGTTTCTGAACGTATGCATAATCAATTGGTTAAGATGTAAACAAGTCATTCAGAGTGGTTTGATGTGAAATGCTCTGTTCTAGAGAAGCTTATTGAGTTAGAATTGTTCACAGTGGTAGTGACTGGAACCAGATGTCAGCTTTTAATGCCACTAATGCCTAATATATGTATAGTTAGCTTCCATGCTAGAGAGGAGATCTACAAACCACACATATGAATAAAAAATAGCAAACGTAACCAACGAATCACACATGCGCAATTTGTGTTACAAGTTACAGATTTCTGAAATTAATTATAGATTTGCAGTTCAAAATTTCAACTGTAGTGTTGTATTCACATATGATTTCTTATCCTCATTTTCAACTTTATATTTTAAAACTCAAATGATGTGTAGGTTCGCTAGTCCTTTTGGATGGTAAATAAAATGGCTGCATTTACATTGTAGACATTAGACCACTGGCTCCTATCACCACCACTGTAAAGAAATCTGAGTTGGTAAATGACTCTACAATAAACAATTTCATATCAACTACTCTGAATGACTTCATTTACACCTTAATGATATAGTTACGCAGAAATTTAAAATTCCCCTTTAAAGAGTTGTAATAAAAGACTAATAATATAGACTGATGCCCTAGGAGTGCATTACACATACACTTCAGTGACCAGTTAGCTTCCTGTAGCCAATAGGATCACTTTCAGAAACAGCCCTACACAGGTGGTCTGTTTACACCGTATTAACATTAGGGAGTTCAGAGATGTTATGAGCCAAGTCAGTCATTAGAGTCTTTGAGGGACTTAATAATGGAACACACATGCAGGGAGAGCAATAGGAACTAACTCAGCTGTCTGAACTAGAGTTTCAGTAAGTGTTTGAATTCGCCTGGTATGACACAGCACCTGTAGTTACTACTGCTGTGGATGAACAGTGAATCAGTGAATGGTACACAATGGGGATTTCAATTGTGAACACCTGCAGAACAGAGCAACTCAAGCCCCCTCTCTCGCTCCTTTTACTGCCTTCTGCTCTGAGACGAGACAAAGGAGAGGTGGAGTGAGAGAGAGAGAGTAGGAGAGAAAGATGAAAGAAAGAAGAAAGACAGTGGCAAAGATAGACTGATATAGCCAAAAAAGAGAGAGAAAGAGAGAGATAAAGATACACAGTGAGAGAGAGAGAGAGAGAGAGAGAGAGAGAGAGAGAGAGCAAGAGGTGTACTCACCGTCATAATTGACTATGATGATGGCGAGCATGTAGTCCTTCCCCAGCATGGTGAGGTAAATGTTCCCTGAACTCTCCTGAGGTTAGCTGAGACACATTCCAGTCCAAACTGTCCCACCGTTCGCCCGCACTCACTCACACGCCGGCCGCTGCATGCAGTGCCAACCAGCCGGGGACACACTCGCATGCCAAGCAGATTACAGGATCTCTACTCCTCTTTTTCTCTCTCTTTTGCCTCTCTTGATTCCCTTTCCCTTTCTCTCTCTTACTCAGCCTTGATAGCTCAGTCTCCTTCCTCTTTATTAAACTCCTAACTAACAGTGGTCAAAACAAAATCACCTCTTTGTCTTACTGGTCAGCTTCTCCTTCTCTCTCTACGCCGTTCTCCTCTCCTCTCTTCGGAGTGATGCTGTTTGCTGCTACCCCTCCTCTCTCTCTGTGCTCTCTGGATTGTGTTCAGTAACGCCTGCAGCGACAAGCCCCCCCCTTCTCTCTCTCTCTCCCTCTCTCTGTCTCAACTGCTCTCTCTCCCCTGGCACTGATGGTGATGCCTTAAGGACGACTGAGTATCAATCAGAGGAGAACAGCTTCACCTGAAAACACAGAAGACATACAGTCCATACAGCGACACAGAAAAGGTGAATCAGATAACAATTTTTAAAAAGGGAACATTAATTGCTATACAGACCTTTCATGTCTATGAGAATGTAATAAGATTGCATTCAATTTATAACACAGCGCATCTCTCCGTGACAGGAGAGATTAGTGACACCAATCTGGCCCACACAAAGAGAGTGGAAGACCTCCATCTGTCAAACCACCGCAGGCTGGGGATCACTTTTCTCCAGCTGAGGCGTTTTTTCAAAGCCCAGTCCAAAAAATATATATGTAATATGACACAAGCTGAGTGTGTGTGTGTGGTCGTGAGCACTGCACAGGGGACACAACAGTAGTGCACGGATAATGTGCAACAACCCAAATGTGCAAAAGCTGTTGTATGTAATGTCTTCAGCTGTTTGAGTCTAAGAAGAAATATATGCAGATTTTTCTTCAAAATAAGCAAAAGGAACAGAAAAAAGAACAAAAAGGATCTGAAGCACATTATCTCCTTAATAAAGTGGGCAGAGGGTGCGTGTTAGGAGGAATACACTGGTCCACCTTAACTTGTCACCACGTCCATAGTCCGTCATGGTCCAGCCTCCGCTTGCGTCATCCATCTCGCCTTCTGCTGGTTGCCGTAGCAACGCCGGTTCCCTCTCGAGCGTCTGTGTTTTTTATGAAAGCTGCAAGAAGAGTGGAGCTCTGTGGAAGCCCGTTTCCGCCAGAAAGAGGAGAAATAAATGGCAACAGAATGTCAAAAACCCTGACTTACGTCTTTTCATTTCAAATAATGACTATTTCCAAATACTGACTTGTCTTCTTGAGACGTTGACTTATGTCTAGATCGTAATTATTATGTCGAAACAATAACTTAGCTAGTCTAAATAAGCATTTTCTTATTTTTTATTTTCTCACAATTTGTAGTTAGTTAGTAAGTCCAGATTTTGAGAAAATAAGCCAAGATATCAAGCAAATAACTCATTTTTTTTGAGATATTAAGTCAAAATTCCAACACAATGTCACATTTTTTCCCAAACTTCTGACAGAAATAGAAACCTAGACCTTTTCTCTTCTGCCTGGCCAATCCACACTGGAGCAGCCGTTAACTTTACCTCACACTGTCACTGTAAATAAAATAAAACAAATATTCTAAATCTCATCAAAACGTTGCTAAGATACAGAACTGTCGATAGACAGAGTTAATTTAAATATTTTATTTCACAAAAATCTTGTCCCTCACCTGTAATTTACGCTATTTTGTGTACAAACATGTTTTTCTGCATCACTACCTCCTCACACACAACGGAGTGAAATTACTGGGCTAAATGCAGCCACACCAGACCAGATGAATCAAACTCAAACTAGCTTCTGCAAAACAGGACGCATAGTCGATCACAGTGCTCACAGCCTACACATGCGAACATGGCGGATGACAAGGTTTGAGGCTCTGTCTTCATTTTATAAGCTCGTGTAATAACTGTGCGTAGTCTTCGGTGAAATTACTTAGATATGATATTTTTGTGGCATTGTCTGTTTTCGTTATGTGGACTTTATTAAGCCATTTTGTCATAGAAACAACTTTTCCGATCGTTTTAATGCGCGGTGTTTATCAGTGCCGAATGGTGAGGGTGTTGGGTATATTGTAGTAAACTGTAAATTCTCTTTTTCACACGGTTTCAGTTTTGTTTTCCTGCTACTTTACACCTTTTTTTTTTAACATATATTTAGTTATTTCTCTATACTTTTAAAACTGTGAAGACTGTTTGAGTGCAGAGTTTTCCTGTCTCTGGCATCTTGGTGATTATTTTGTGGTCTTTGGGTCCTTTGGCACACCCTGTCATGACTCATAGCACAAAGCCCTTTTTTCCACCATGCTGGCTGGCTGGCATTGCAACATACACTCGTCGAGCACTGTGTTAGGAACACTATACTAACACTGGCTAGGGTCTTCCTTTGCTTTCAAAACAGCCTCAAGTTTTTGTTGCATGAATTCCACAAGATGTTGGAAACATTCCTTTGAGACTCTGTTCCATGTTGATATGATTGCATCATGCAATTCCTGCAGGTTTTTCAGGTTTACTTTCATGCTGCGAATCCCCTGTTCTACCACATCCTAAAGGTGTTCTACTGGATTCAGATCTGGGAAGGCCAAACATTGAACTCATTGTCATGTTCATGAAACCAATTTAAGACAACTTTTGCTGTGTGACATGACACATTATCATGCTGGAAATTGCCATTAGAAGCTGAATAAATTGTAGTCATGAAATGGTGCATGTGCTCAGCAACAACTCAAAAAAGCCATGATATTCAAGCAATGATCAATTGGTGTTAACAGACCCAAAGTGTGCCAGGAAAACATTCCCCACACCATTACACCACCTCCACCAGCCTGAACTGTTGATACAAGGCAGGTTGAATGTGGGTTCATGCTGTTGCTGCCAAATTCTGACCCTTACCGTCTGTGTGCCTCAGCCGGAATTTAAGATTCATCAGACCAGGTGATGTTTTTCTAGTCTTCAGCTGTCCAGTTTTGGTAAGCCTGTACCCACTGCAGTCTCTGCTTTCTGTTCTTGGCTGACAGAAGTGGAACCTGACATGGTCTGATGCTGTTGTAGCTCATCTGCCTTAAGGTTTAATGTTGATGTTGTGCATTCTGAGATGTTTTCTGCTCACCATAATTGTACAGAGTGTTTTTTTGAGTTACTATAGACTTTCTGTCAGCTCAAATCAGTCTGGCCATTCTCCATTGACCTCTCTGATTAACAAGGCGTTTTCCTTCCATAGAACTGCTGCTCACTGGATGTATTTTCTTTATTGCTCCATTCTGAGTGCTCTAGAGACTGTTGTGCATGTAAATCCTAGGAGGTCAGCAGTTATAGAAATAATCTAACCAGCTCGTCTGGCACCAACAATCATGCCACAGACAATCACTCAGATCACAGTTTTCCCCTATTCTGATGGTTGAACATTACCTGAAGCTTCTGGCCTGTATCTGCAAGATTGTATGCACTGCACTGCTGCCACACGATTGGCTGATTAGGTAATTGCATGAACGAGTAGGTGTACAGGTGTTCCTAATAAAGAGCCCAGTGAGTGTATTTCAGACAGTTTTTCCAATAAGGGTATGCGGTGCTTCATACTAGTTGGTGTGGTATCAAAACATGAGCAGTGCATTCTGTCCATTCTGCAGCTGTTTTTGTGTTAGTTGAGTAACAGATGCTAACTTTTCCAGCTTGTTTGTGTGCTGTCTGTGTGTTAGGATCCATTCAGGCAGTTAAAGGATCTAGCCCTGCTTAAAGGCCAGCTGGATGACATTCAACGACGAGTGGAGACTGAGGTGCAAGCTGGACTTCCTCAGGTAAACTGACCACATGTATAACTCTGTATTTACACTGTAAATATTGTTTGGTTACCAAAAAAAATAAAATTTGCATATTTTTCTCCTTACCTTAAATGTAAGCCAAGACATGTTTGGTGTCCAAAGTTTGCTTAATTGGTTTGCAGTGGAACTACAAGGCAAATGTAGTTAAAAAGTAATGGAAGTTTACAGTGCCCTCCATAAATATTGGGATGTCTGGTAAACATGAGCGAAACAGGCTGTAAAACCATCTTTATTGCTTAACCTTTTTAATCCTTCATTTAAAAGATTAAGAAGAACCTAATCTTTATTTGAAGTACAGTGATTGGGGGGGGACTCATCAGGAAATATTTTTCTCAAATCTGTGTGTGCCACACATGACAAAGGATCTGAGACAATTCCTGCATACAGAATCTCTCTGTATTCAGATTCTGAGGTGGACTGTGGACTCTCCTCCTCAGCTAATCCCACAGGTTTTCTATGGGGTTTAGGTCAGGAGACTGGTGTGACTGTGCCAAAACCTTAATTCTGTGGTCAGTGAAAAATCTTTGTGTTGATTCTGATTCTAGTGTTTGTTAGCAATGTTAGCCTCACTGCTCCAGTTCTAAACAAGCAAAATTTGGATTTCAGACATGTGATTTCAGGCTGATTGACTACATCTGCTGTAAGTGGAAAATTGTGTAAATCAGATTTTCACCAAAGTATTCTTTTAACACAATGAACTTGTTACAGTGTCTGAGATAGCAAATGTATGTAAAATGACTGCCATTTAAATTTGAGTACTACTGCTTTTGTTTCACCTACAATAAAATATTTGTGGGAGGAATGGAGGTTGTAGGGGTAAATATGGACATAAGTAACCTGTGGTATGTAAAATCTGCTGTTTTGATTCAGGGCGGGAGTCTGTTGGGCTCTCCCTTCCTCAAGGGCTTTCTGGCTGGATACATCGTAGCGAAGCTGCGCTCTTCAGCCATCATGGGCGTGCTTGTGGGAACCTGCACCGGAATCTATGCTGCTCAGAACTTTAATGTGCCCAACGTTGAGCAGACCATAAAGGGCTATTTCAGCTCCTTTAGGAAGAGCAAATAGAATTGTGTACACAGCTCAGGGTTGACAAAATAGTCAATGAATCATGCATCTCATACTTTTTTCCTCACTTCAGCCTCCTAGGAAGCACTGCACTGAAGGCCATGCAGTTTTCCAGTATATTGCTGTGCAGAGTGGCTAATGTAAATAATGGGATGTGATTTAATTTTCCATGAGATTTAACTGGGAGCCAATATGAAAGTTTTTGTTTAGTGATAAACTGGCAGCTCAGGGATGAGTTTCCCCAAAGTGTTGTAACACAGTGATCATTATGTGATTGCAGAACTAGCATCATTTTCGTTACTCTCACTGATACTTAAAGTGGTGATCTGAACATAAACATACCGATACAAAACTTTTTGGAAACTGATCTTCTAAAGTTTACCGTAAAGCCTTTCTGGTGCTTCAGACTAAAATTTGGTCATCTTTCTCCTTTTAAATATCCAGTAATGTCATAACTAACATTCTGGTCAACCTCTACAGAACGCTGCAGTGCAGAGTGGTTGAATTATTCAGCATCCTCCATGCCACCAGTGTCTAATTGCAGCAAAGTCAGCTTTGATTTGTGCCTTTTTTCCTTCCAGTGTAGCTGATAGGGCGATGACCTGGCATGTGAGTGCTGTACACAATCAGTATCACCTTTCGAACAGCAGATCATGGAGCAATCAAGCATTTTTGCACTTTAGCCCTACTGGATTTGCTGAGATGATAGCGAATAAAGCATCCATGAAATGGTGGCAAAAATTCTTATTAGGTTATCAGGGAACATACAAATTGACTGCCATGCAGTTAATTTCAAATGACACTTTGTTAATTCAGTGCTAAACAGTGCTTTGATTATATCTCAAGATATAAAGTAAGCACTTTTTTTTTAATCTTCTTTTTGCCAAGTTGTAAGCTTTTCTTTTGCATGCCATCCTCTTAACTTTGTCATTTGATGTTATTTATGTAGATGCTGTTCTGATATGGGTACTGTTACATAATGTTGCATGGCATTTTTCTTGTAGTAAGACATTTATACATAAATACGTTCAGTGCATGAAGTGTGTTCTTAGTGTGCTTTTTGACTTGCTATATATATATAATAATCTTCTACAATAAAGGCATAACACTGGGGTCGTTGAATGAATAAACTAATTTCTTAAAGATCATACCAGATTTCTGGTCCACATTATGAATTAAATAAAAAAAAATAATTTGTGTTTAGTTTGACTATATCCACAGAATAATTTTGAGTTAATATGAACATTAATACATAAAACACAAATGTTGAGCAACAGCAGAAGGCTACAGCTCACATACAAAAATTCAAATATAAAAACTCTGCCCCCCACTTCAATTTGCACAATTGTTAATATGTTAATGTGTAAATTAAGGTAATAGTTTTCTAGTGTCTGACATTAAATCTTAACCTACTTGAAATATATTCTGTTTCTGTTCTTCAAATTTTTTCACTTATCCATTGACTGTTGCTCATACATAATAAATAATAACATTAGAAACAATAAAAAAAAATTCCTCATTCGCATTGTTGTCAGTTGTCCTGTAATCACTGTTATCAGGAACTGAAACAACCACACATTTCCTCCTTTCTGAAGATTTATGTAAATCAGCCTAAAAATGTTTAAGTGAGGCGTGTCAAAATGAGATCCTCCCAGTCCACAGCTCTGCTGAGTTTAGAGTTCCTCTTTATTAAAAACACCTGATTGGACCTATTTGCTAATTTGCAAGACCTGCATGAGTTGAGTGTTAGTAAAAGGGAAAACAGTAATCTCGTCAGTGCTGTGGCCCAAAAGGAACCCATTTTGATACTGCTGGCTTAAATTGATCTAAGAGCCCCCACATCCAGCATTTTGTAGTGTTATCCCTATTCTTATACAACTGTTTCAGCTAATCAACTTTTTAATGAGTCTCTGCTGAAGTTAATAAGATAGCAGGAAAACACTAAAATATGCAGAACAGGGCTATTCCAGGAAACCACTGGCCTCTATCAGTCCTGTTGTGCTTTGTGCTTTGACCAATAGCTAAAAGAATTCGCTCACATGGAACAAAATAAAAGATTTGGACAAAAGGGAGTCCATGAAAGTGAAAAGCATTTGGTAGGATGTTTTAAATGCTAAAACTGCTTGTTTCTCTGTCATTTGTAAGTGACACAAGGCCATAGAGAGATGTTAGCTAATAGCTTTAGTGACCAGCTACAAGACAGAGTATCCCTCCAGATTTAAGGTGTTATATGGATCACCTTTTGTGAAATTTAGCATATCAGTTGGTTATAGCATTCCTACATTTAATTAGTAACCCAATCAATTGTTGTCAGACTGGGTAGTTAATTATACTCATGGTGCACCTGCAAATGTTCATTGTGTGCTAAAAGCTAGCATGTGAGTTCCTGAAAGTGTCCTGGGACTCTGTGAGAGGTTGTGTTGCTTTTGATGAATTTTTAATATTCTCTTCCTGTTGAAGTCTCTGCAGCAGTGGTCACCAGCCCTCCTCATGGAGATCTACTTCCGTGCAGAGTTTCGCTCCTTACCTAGCACTAATGCATCTGATCCAGCCAATCAAGGAGTTCTGAGGAAGTTATTTAGTGTGGTTAGAACTAGACGCTGCAGGAAGGTAGCTTTCCAGAACCAGGACTGGTGACCACTGCTCTAGGTCTCTCTCCATATGGCTCAGCTGTGTCTTCTATGTACTTGAGGTTAGCAAAACCAAGGAACTCCCTTCACTTTCTGTCCCCTGTTGCCACTGAAATGGCCCATAACTGCTCGGCTTTGCTGGGGGCCTTTGAGATTTGTGGCTATAAGGTTTCAGTTAGCATTAATCTGCTATGAAAGAGAAAGCACAGGAATGTCTCTAGTGTTACCGTGATGCACAGCTCAAACTGCAGCGCTAGCACTGACCACTGGAATGGATACGCTCAAGAGGAAACTCAAGATTCTCCCTGAAGATAAGACAGATCAGCTCTTTTACTTAAGCCATCAATCAAACCAACAAACACACACATTGTTAGTAAAAAATTTATTTGAACCCTTTTCCAATTGTCGAGGTCCATTATCCTTCTACTTCCTCCATGCACCATTCACTGTCATTTCACACAGCATCAAAAATGAAAAAGGTTAGTAATCAGATCTTAACTTGATCTTAAATATCATGTTGACAGAGAAGGACAGTTTCTATAACTAACCAATAACCAGGCAATATAGTATAGCATACTCTTCAATATAGCATCATCTACACAGTTAAGAAGTGATGAGAAGTGAGGATCTATTTGCTGAGGAAGCTGTATTTTTATCCAAGTATCCTACTAAATGTATAATGCTAAAGCCCAAGTATTTTTATTCAATGATCCCATAAAAATGTATAGCACTCTGCATCTTAAAGCTTTAAAACTAAAGTAGCATACATTGTTGTGCATAGAGGAAAAAAGAAATGAGAAAGAAATCTTCATGAAGCTGCAGATTCACATCTTACTCCAGAGCTCCAACTTTGGCTGGAAAAGAAGAGACAGAAATGAACCCAAAGACTCAAACACTGATCTTAATTAAATAAATTACTTATTATGACAACCCAAATAATGTTTTCCTTGCTGGAAAAGCTAGCATAGGCTAGCATAACTGGTCACCAGCAAAACCAGCATATAATTGCTGTCGGAACAAAAGATTATCTCACTTTTTTGTTGTTTTCCATTTTATTTTACAAAAACGCCAGCTGCCTTTTATGTTGCGTGTAAATTTCATGATTAATGGATGAATGGAAACTGTCCGAAATTCCTTAGAAAAAACTGTTACATTCACTTACGTTATAAGTAAAGAACGTTTTTGCCTTCTCCTGTAAAGTTACCATCTTGGAGATACAAGATTCTGTACTGACAGCGACGACATGTGTTTGGGATGCTGATATGCTGGTCAGCAACAACAGAAGCTATTATTCTGAACACATATGGTGTGTTTTGGCTGCTGATATGCTGCTAAACCTGCACCACACCAGCATAAACCAGCTTAGACAAGCAAGGAATTCATGAAATTTACTGTTGGTAAAAAAAAAAAAACTTAAAAAATTTGGTCCCATGATTCCTTGGAATAACAGTGCTAACAACAAACAAATGTCACACAAATTCCTTGTATGGAATAACACAGTACTAACATCATCATGACTTTATTAGCTATTCATAATGATTAAGTTTTACCTTTGCCACAGTCAGCAGGGCCATCTGCCATAGAGTTTTCCAGCATGGCTCCGCTCTTGTCCACACACCAGCACTTATTGGCTGCATCCCAGCACTGCTGAGGCTCGTAGTCTCCATTCTCATCGCAGGTGGGCTTGTAAGAGTGCATGCGGACGTCCACCAAACCTGTAGCCTCCTGCTGGCACTGGGTCAGTTCTGAGGGAAAAATCTGAATTTAGCCTTCCAGTGCAGGAATGTCCAACACAGTCATGATAACCCGGGTGCTGAGAGTTCTTAGCTTACATAATGACACAACTATTTAGAAGTTTATATAAAACCAGTTTTGTTGCACATATGTGTGTAACAGAATATTATGCTGGTACTGCAACTTCAGAAGTCTAAAAAAATTGATGGGAAGGTGGAAAAAAATATGTTTTAGTGTCCAGAGTGATGAACAGACTTATACTGATATGGATAAGTCAACAAGACATTATTAATAAACAATTAGAGTACAATATTTAGTATGTAACAACTTCTTGTTGTTAACAAAAATATGAAGACTGAATAAATCATCTAGAAATACCCATTTAATTTCTAGTTTACAATATCTCAGTCTACACTGTGTTAGCTGTTATTGACTAAAGAACTCAAAAAGATTAATCACATGTAGAGGTGGATAATAAGATGATATTTTAATGTTATAGTAATAGATTTTGTTACTGTGACATGTTTTTCTGAGCATATTGTGGATATCATCCACACTTAAAACACAATGATGGCCAAGTGCATGTTGCATTGAAAAGAGAGCATAATTAGCCCTGTTTAATTTGAGAGTTTTTGATGGCTATTGTTGAATGTGGCCCTATTGTGTACTATCTCTGTGAGTCAAAATAGTGTGATACGTATCGTATTTTGCAAAAATGTCTTTGTCATGAAATCATACTTTAGCCATATCATCCACTTCTAATGACATGTGAATGAAGGTAGGGTATATAAACATGAATAAGCAGATGCAGTGTGGTGAAGGATGTGGACAGACAGTTCACCTTTCTTGGGAGCAGGAGTGGACGGGGCCTGAAAAGAAAATCAGAATGTTAGAACGCATTGAACTGCTACAATATGCAGCGCAGATGTACTCCAGATAAAACAGGATTTCTCAGTAAGCTGAATAACTTAAGCCTAAAGTTGAGGATTGTCCAGTAAGGAATGCTCCTTTTGGCTGAAGTTAAAAGGCTAACCAAAAAGTCCTGCTTTGTGAATGCTCCTCATCCTGTATGGTATTTTAGTTCAATGCTGCCACCTGGCAGCTGAGTACTGTAATAGCAACACAGTGAAAATCCCTCTCACCTTCTTCTCAGTGACAGCGTCGTCCATCAACAGAGGGAGAGAGTTCATGGGCAGTGCCATCTTCATGGGACTGCGCATGGCTGAAGAAAGAAAAGGAAGTAAAGACAAAGTATATTTTTAATTATATTAACAAGCAAGATCTTCAATTTAGACAGGAACGCCTCATCATTTTTGTGTTTATATCTGTATTGTTGTTAAAACCGAGTTCAGCATTTACCAGATATTTTCCAGAATCAGGATAAAGCAAGAAATAAGCAACTTTTTAAACATCACATTCATTGTTTAGTGTTACACCAACTTGCTTGGACTGCATGCTCTGAACTTTATGTGCTTTCGGCTACAAAACAAGAAACAATTCTTTTGGACAATGTTCCACATTTTTGGAAAAATCTCCACATTTTCCAATCTTTTTTGGAAACACTGAAAGTGCTGCTTATTGCTTCTTCACTGCAGCACCTCTGAATGGTCACTTGCGTCCACAGGCAGGGTCATAGGGAGCTGACTGACCTGTGGCCCTGCGGCCGAGCTCCTCCAGACGGGTAGAGTGGCTCTCCAGAGTGCTCAGCCTCTCCTTCTGGTTGAACAGCATGTAGGCGGTGAAAGCCTGGCCTGCGATAAGGAGAGTGGCGAGCAGGGTCAGCGCCGTCACCTTCAGAGCCTGCTTGTTGGAGCTCCTAAAACAGGAAATGAAAATACAGTTGAAAGAATAATCTCTTTCACATTCAGCCCTGCTCTGCCCTGTCGAAATGGACAGTTAGAGCAGAGAAAATAAGTTTAAGTTGCTACTGAATTGAACTGACATGTTTATCAGGATTATTTTGGTTGGACGGTGCTCACATCAGCCCAGCTGCTCATTTACCTTTACCTTATTCAGTTAGCTTGACTCTTATTCACAGCAAAATGTGTGAACAGTGGAGGCCGAATGTAACTGGTGAAATAAATGCAAATGCAGCTTTTCCTTTTTAACAAGCAAAAATGAAAAGCAAATGTAAAGACTGCTGTGCTTAAAAATGAAGCGAGAATGAGTTACCCGAGATATGTATATACAAATGTTTGAAGAGGCAGGTCAGAAGGAACGGTACCCAATTACCCAAATAACTGCTCTAGGTTGTTGTTTTCTAATCGTACTCCTGGATTTCTACTGTGGCACGGTCATGGTGACCTTAAGCGCGGCTTCTTTTTCCTTCTTTCATTTAAAAGACAGGAATCACCGAAGCAGGGCAGCAAAAATTTTAAAAAAAGACAGGCAGCAGAATATTTAACAAAGGTAAGTAACAACACGAACAACAGTTAATTAATTCATCAAATACTTAATTAACTAATTAAATGTTAAAAATAAACAAATAAAACAAACTAAAAACTTCTAAGACAAAAACAAATCTAAAATAAAATTGCCATAATGTTTTTACACGAGTCCTTCCTTTAATACTTTTAAGGAAGGCAAAAAAACAAAAAAACAAAACTTAGTCTGAAAGCGTGACGGGTGAGAATGTTTATACATTTTGCTTTGGGAAACTTTAAAAACGTACTCGGAAAACTGATATATGGAATATATAAATTTCAAATATATGACATATGTGCCAACATACATGAAATTGGCCTTTTTTAAATATGGGACAATTAATTCAGACGGATTTCAACATACACAAACATATGTGATAGATAATGTTATTCATGTATGGATGGCATATATTATTCATGTTACCTTCATGTGGTAAAAGATGTTTATGCATCGTCTTTGTTTCTTTAACATACATCCTAATGTAGTGAAAAGTCATATAATAGTTATGTAACTAAATTCTATTGTGCACAGGGTAAGCTATGCAATAAAATCATGAAAACATGAAATAAACTGAAATATTGTCCCCTGACACATTTAAATAATTTAATACTTAAAAGCAAACAGATAAACAGATAATAGTAATGGGAACAATTATAACTGTACTGGGATGGGTTCAGCCATGTATCAGAGATATGTATGATCCATATATCATGCATTTATGACCACAATATGTACACAAAATATATGTACATATACATTATACATTAATATACATATAAATGTGTCCATATCTGACAGTATCTCAGATTTTTTCTACGGGACTGCAGGGATTGTTAATGAGCTGATGAGTTTAACAGGAAGTTGAAATGAAGTGATACGTATGAATGCACAGTGAAATAGTCTGTATGTTTATAGGCCTGCGTTTAGAATCAGGTCTACAGAACCACAAAACCCAGAATGCAAGTTTTTTTTTGGTCACATCATGTTGCATTCTGTAGTGGAAATTGGTAACTTGTACAAGCATCAAAAACATGTACAGTTTAGTGCTTTATTCAGCTGACAGGTATGTTGCGCAGTTGTTTAAGCATTCTTAATTATTTTATGATAAATTTTACAAGAACATTTTCCTACAAGATTTATAAGACTTGTCAACACTAAATGTGCGTAATTAAAGTAAAGAAAATAAGCTAAAGAAAGAAAGAAAGAAAAAAAGAAAGAAAGAAAAAAAGAAAGAAAGACAGAGAAAGGGGGTCTCACCCTGTTGACGTTGTTACACTGGGAGTCCGGAGCAGGGGTCCATCTTGAGGATCAGACATTTTGGTAAAAGTGACCAAAAAGATTTACACTCGAAAAATGAGCAGCTGGTCAGACTCTCTCAGTGAAGGAGGCTGTAAAAATGAGAAGCGAATCCAGAGACGCTGAAGATGAAAGAGGAAAGTCCCAAACCAGCTGAGACTTTATTACTGAGACTGGATTCTGCCCTCCTGATTGGCTGAGAGCGGACGCGTCATCAGTTGATAGCAGCAGTGTCGGTTTAATACTGAAGTCTTCATAAACCGCCAGTCTCTCACAGCAGCTGTGTCAACTGAGTTTAAACAGCTTTTCACTGTAAAATCCATCATTTTTATAAAATATGAAGGTGGTGGCAGACACAGTCCTCACCGATAATCGGGTAAAAGTCTGTTTTATGATGGAGGAGTGAGACCTGACTCTGTTTCCTCACCTACAGAGTCAAAACTACTGAAGAGCTATTAAAAGTGACATTAAACTATACACGAGGAACACAATATAATATATGAAAGAAAAGATTTTTTAACTGAGAAATCGCCAATAAAACGTGTTGTGCCAATAATTTGGTTGATGTTCCGTGTTTAGGAAAAAAAGAATCACCACTAACAGTGACATGTAATCCAGAACCAGGACCAAAGTCCAGTTACGTAACATAAAGATGAAGTGAAATTACATTTAACTACACCATCACTACAAGTCATTTCACCTTCAGCTTTTTTTAAAACTGTATCTCACAAGGAAATTAGTTTTGTAAGTTGGATGTTTTGGTGTTCCCCAGGGCCAAGTAAGTGTACCGAGTCAAACCAGTTAGGCAAAGCCACGAGTTCCAGCACAGATCACATACCAGTATTGATTCTGCTGAACAGTTGTTCTTGTACCGTCATGCATTAGGGCACAGGTACTCAACCTGTGTGGAGACCCCCTAGTGGTGCGCTGAGGAATTGCAAGGGGCGCGGGTGAAAAGTGAGAGAGAAAACAGCGTATATAACCAGAAAGGGAAAGTTCGTGAACGAACTTTAAGTTGGCTTGAAAAAGCCAGTTAATTACTTTAAAACGTTAAAATGGTCGAAGACTGTTGATAGTTGTTAAAATATTGCCAAAATGTTGCTAAGCAGAAGCTGCAGTACCTGTGGTGGATGGTAATTCGTTGCTAGGTGCTACCGTGAATGAAGTTCCACCTTAAAGTCTGTGGCACCTTAAATTTAATGCAACGTTAAAATAAGTTCCACCTTAAATTCTGTGCCGCCTTAAGTTTAGTGCTTTGCTAATTTCAGTTCCACCTTAAATTCTGTGCCAAATTAATTTTCGTACACCTTAAATGGAGTGCCACCTTAAATTCTGTTCCACCTTAAATTTTTTCCACTTTAAATGAAGTTCCACCCTAATTTAAGTGATACCATAAAATGGAGTTCCACCTTGAATTTAGTGCTATCTTAATTGCAGTTCTACCTGAAATTCAGTGCCACCTTAAATTCTGTTCCACCCTAAATTTAGTGATGTTAATAGCAGTTCCACCTTAAATTTAATGCTTTGTTAATTGAAGTTCCACCTTAAATTCTGTTCCACGTTAAATTTAGTGCTATGTTAATGGCAGTTCTACCTAAAATTCAGTGCCACCTTAAATTCTGTTCCACCCTAAATTTAGTGATGTTAATAGCAGTTCCACCTTAAATTTAATGCTGTTAATTGAAGTTCCACCTTAAATTCTGTTCCACGCTCATTTTAGTGCTATGTTAATAGCAGTTCCACCTTAAATTTAATGCTATGTTAATTGAAGTTCCACCTTAAATTCTGTTCCATCTTAAATTTAGTGTTATGTTAATTGAAGTTCCACCTTAAATTTAATGTTATGTTAATTGAGGTTCCACCTTAAATTTAGTGCTACCTAAGTGCAATTCCACCTTAAAAATCATTGTGCTGACACTGCTGAGCATTAGGCTGAGAGCATGCGAGACATTGTGCTCCATGCATGAGTGTGCATGTGTGTGTGAGAGGTGCCCATTGTGACATCACGTGTGGCATGTCGCCAACATTCCACCCATTCATTAATTATGGGAAAAAATATCATCTTTGAACGTTAATTTTCCGAAAACCGTACGTCGGATTTCTCAGAAAACCACAAGCAACCTAATCAGGTATGGGTACTACAATCCTGCAAAGTTCCATGGTTCTAGCTCGAAAACTGTGGGACGAGAAACATTTTATATTTTGAGCGTAGAATCATAAGAAGGTTACGAAGAACAGTAACTTATATATTTAAATGACAGTAAGAGGATTTTTTTGTGGTTCTAAAACTGTGACCTTATTTTTCACAATCCAACTTAATGTTGCTTTATTTTATGCAATTAATAAATTTAAAATCAAAAAGTGTCCTGTGACAACAGGTCAGTTAACCATCCTTCTAAACCAGACAGCCTCATTTCCAGAAGAAGCTGTTTTTTATGGTTGGGACGACGAGTTCTCAAAAACTAGACTGCCTCATCAGAAAGTCTGAATATATCTGGGTTAACGTGAGCCTTCAACAATCAGTACTGGACAGCAGGGCAGCACAGTATAATTAAAAAGATCATACTACAATTACACTGGCCTCTCGATGTGTTAAAGGCAGTGGAAATCCCTAATGTGACTGACTAGCCTGTGTTTTTATTTAAACATTATTTACATCATGTAGATCATGTGAATGTCTTCACTTATTAAACCGCCCACTGAACTCACATTAATTCACAGAAATTCGCTATTATTTACTGCTGCCAATATTAGTGTAATGCAGAAGTAGGCAATATGGCAAAAACACTGTATTGCAATACGTCCTATCAATACACAAAAGACATCACGATATCTAATTTTTCCTGAGGTTTAGCAAATTGAAAAATATACATAAACACTGATTTCAGTGATTTTTATTCAATGTTTCACATACGGCACCAAATCCAATTAAACCAGATTCAAGATACTATTTTTGTAGTGAAACATTGAGTCAGTCTTTGTTCTTGAAGCACTGACTATATCCACGGTGTGCTCAGATCATATTGTGACAATTTATCATTGATGACAAATATCAGCATATTTTTCATATTATGGACAGATTTACTATGATTGGCTAATAGATTATATTGAATATATAAACCTCAGAAAACTAATCTGATATAATGCTTTCTAAGGCAGGGACCAACATTGTGGTAATTGAGCTGGATGAAGGCAGAGTATAAATTAACTTGGTGTACTCTGTTAAACAGGAACTGCTCTAACACCACAGTTCTCAGTCTCAGTTCTGTGGCTCCAATGTTTTCCGCATTTTCATTTCCCTGCTGCAACACCACTCTCAGCTCAAAAAAAGGATTAGAAATTCAGAGTTAAAATGCACTGGTTTAATTATATTCTAATACATTTGCCTAAATGCTTTAACATGAAGACACGACTCCAAGATGACTTTGAATTTTTATTCGGAAAAATCCACAACAGTTTACAGACGACGACCACGGCGACCTCCCTTTCTGCGGGTGCTGTCTGATGGAATAGGGGTGACATCCTCTGGAAGGGAGAAACAAATGGAAGCTGGAGTCAAGACTTATTCCACTTCATGACAGCTTAACAAGGCACAAACACTACACTTCAACACTGACGCATTCATTTTCAGAGAGCATAAGAAATTGGGCCTGCTCTCATTATCCACCACACTGCACTGTGCAATGCCATGTGGAGCGTTCAAAATGCCCATTTGTAGAGAAATTAAAACAGGAATGCCCATTTGTAGAGAAATTAAAACAGGAATGCCCATTTGTAGAGAAATTAAAACAGGAAACTTTGGCTTAAGTGATCCAGCACTGGAGTCATCTGTGTACGACTGCTTTTGAAGGAAGTGAAATTGTGGCACGACCATCCAAGAGGAAGTTATCCTCAAAACAGGTTCATTCTGACACTGAGGTATGGTACTACTGTACTTAAGTGAAAGCTGTCTGCAACTGTACACGTTTCAGTGACAGCCACAACTAGGTGACGAAATTTAATGAGAGCTCACTGTACTCCCTCATGGCTGTTATCAGTGGCACAAGTTCTGATGCAAAGGAACAGCCTGCCATCTAGCTACAATAACACACAGAAGCCTTCATTCACAGCAAACTACCACCTGAATAGCAGCACTGCAGTGGAATGTACGTGAGGGAAAAAGTTTCTCCGAAAATTCACTGTTGTATTGTATCAAATTAAGCAATCTATTAAGAAGAGATAGAATTTACTGTTTTCTTTCTGCATGTGTTGGGGACACAACCAATCAGACTGGTTTTAAATTAATGGCTAGGCACTCGACTTGTTTTGTAATTGGTTTGTGTCTCCTGCTTTTCTGATTCAAACTGGTAAAACGCAACATGATTTTCTTTGAAATCATTCTTAAATATAGTAGAGCAAAGGTTATACAGCGATTTATAAACCTTAGTTTGGTCAGACCTTTCACGTCCTTCTTTAAAAGAGCGCAGGTCTCTAGGTTTTGACTTACCAATGCGGCCAATCTTCATGCCAGAGCGAGCCAGAGCCCTGAGAGCAGACTGTGCACCTGGTCCTGGAGTCTTGGTTCTGAAAACGATATTTTAAAAATTAAGACCTGAACTAAATCCTAAAAGGTTTACTACTAACACTCCCCAAACAGCCAGATTTCAAGAGAGCCTTGGAGGGTTACAAACCACTCAGACATGCAGAAGTACTGAAGCACAAAATGGAAAAAAGTTTGTCCATCAAGAACACACTAGTGACCCCTTACAACAACTAGCAAATTTATTTTCCCCTTACCCCAAACACAGCTGATAAGCCAATATGTTTAGTTGGTGGATTTTATTTGTGCTAGAACTTTAAGGCTAACACAGCTGAGAAGTAATGGAAACTTATAGCCAAGCAATCTCAAATAGCCTTGTTTTGTTGGACTAGGCTCAACACAAAATGTTAGCATTCATCTTGAGGCCTGGAATTTATATGTTTGCTTTAATAACACTACCTCATGATTTGGTGATGCAATTTGAGTGATACTATGGATTTGGAATAAGCTTCTTACATGTCGGCTGCAATGGCCTTATAGCTCCAGCACAAAACTAAAGCAGACTGACAATTCTTGATTGACAAACTACATGTGGGGTAGGGGAAAATGTCACCATGCAGAACCATCA